ACATGTTTGCATATATGAGTAGATGCATGATTTTGACATGAGAGGAAAAATATATTAACCCTTAGGCCATATTTGTTTGGGCGGACTGGATTAGCATTCCCATGACTAATAGTCCTAGGATTACGAATCCGTTGGATTATGTATCCTATCTTAACTAATAGTCAAGTTTAAAATGATTAGTCCGTACTTTAATTGTTTAACCAAACATTGAATTAATAATTTTATTAGACTATTAGCCCAATCCCAAGCTCATGTCCACCCAAACAAACATGGCCTTACAGTAGTAATATTTTTCAAAGGAAAATTGTTCAACGAGCAGGTATTGAAGTTCCAAAAAAAATAATAAGAGGCCAACTTATATAATTTAAAGAGTTTTTTTAATAATTAATGTTATTATTATTATGATAAAAGGATTTAGAAATTTGGAGGCTGTCACTCATCTCTCCAAATTAGGTCCATCTTACTTGTATGATTACAATTAATTATATTTTTAAAACAAGATTTTGCTCCAAATGTAATGATGCAAGTTAATTTCACAATTATGACCACATGGATGACAATGCAACAAGGCACATGTTGGAGAGGAGAAGAAGTCAGTTGATTGATTTTGATTTATTTTTAATTTTTATTAGCAATATTTTGAACAAATTAAAGTTCAATTTACTTTAAGCGAGACTATCATTTATAACCAAGTAATTTTATTATAGTTAATTTTTAAAAACAAATAATATATATAATTTCATAAATAGATCATATATTTTTATTAAAGATAAATACATTAAAATAACATGAACATGACTTTACAATGAATTTGATTTTTATTTTTAATATACATATGAGTTTACAAAATGATCGAGTATGATAAATTCACCAACCTAAATTATGCCTCTCTATTTCACCGTACAGTTCGGTGAACTTTTTTTTCTTGTTTATTTTCTATAATTTTTTAATTGCTTACTAGACGTGTTTATAATATATTTTCAAATGGTTCAATGAAATATAGTAGTATTAGGCAATAAAAAACAGTTTACTAATTTTATTTATTTTTCATTTATTCCGTTAGATTTTTGAGCATTAATTCTAATGAGGTCAATGTTATTTATTGAAGAGTGTTGTTAGATCTCGTAAACTTACTAACGGTCCTATTTCAAAATAAATATAATAAAATTGTATAATTATAATTATCAAATCAAACTTATTTATTTGTACATAAAATTTAATAAAATAAATAATTTAAGTCATGAAAACGGACATGTAGTAGTTAGAGGCTCTACAGGAACAACACCCTTTCATAGTCTCATCCTAATCAATTCAGCTTAGCTTTTACACCATTAATGCTGCAAAGCGTCCACTGTCAAGAAAGTTACGCATTACCTCCCCGTCATTAAAGGGATAAGAAGGGGTGTTACAAGGTAACTTTTTTTTGGCCTCTGTTTGGTTTAGTTTTTTAATTTTTTTAATTATTTTAACCTGCGGTTAAAAAGTCAAGTTTGAAAAAGATTTTTTTATTTTTTGATTTTTTTGATTTTTTTTGTGAGAGAATAGTGTAATGATTACGAGTTTGATTTGATATTTTATTTTTTGTGACTAAAATAATCTATTTTATTTTTTGTGACTATTTTAGTCCCTAACCCACCAAAACTAACTTTCCAAACTATGCCAATTTGTAATCTTTTTTATCATATCATATTTTTGTTGACATAATTTTATTCATTACCAATCTAATGAACGAGCACTTGGATATCTTACAAAAAAATTATAAATATATTGAATATAATGATAATAATAATGTATCTTGTATGAGTCATTAAACGATTTAAAAATTATAACTGAAATTGAATTAACACTCTTAAATTATATCAACTCAATGTAGTACACACTTTCATAATTTTTTTAAAGAAAAATTATAATAAAAAAAATTCAAAATTTGATCCTTATAATAAAATAAATAATGAGTTTTTAGTTTGTCAATTAAACCTTAATATTTTGATTTGTTTTGAATCTAAACTATATTTTTATTTTCACTAAATAAACCCAACTTAAAAAAAAAAACTTTAATTATCAAACTCAATAAAAAATAATATTTTAAATATTTTATATATATTTACATTGAGTTTAATGACTAAAATATTATTTTTTTATCGATTTTACTTAATGAAAATAGACAAATAATTTATATTGAAAAAAGGGATAAGAAGGGGTGTTACAAGGTAACTTTTTTTTGGCCTCTGTTTGGTTTAGTTTTTTAATTTTTTTAATTATTTTAACCTGCGGTTAAAAAGTCAAGTTTGAAAAAGATTTTTTTATTTTTTGATTTTTTTGATTTTTTTTGTGAGAGAATAGTGTAATGATTACGAGTTTGATTTGATATTTTATTTTTTGTGACTAAAATAATCTATTTTATTTTTTGTGACTATTTTAGTCCCTAACCCACCAAAACTAACTTTCCAAACTATGCCAATTTGTAATCTTTTTTATCATATCATATTTTTGTTGACATAATTTTATTCATTACCAATCTAATGAACGAGCACTTGGATATCTTACAAAAAAATTATAAATATATTGAATATAATGATAATAAAAATTTATCTTGTATGAGTCATTAAACGATTTAAAAATTATAACTGAAATTGAATTAACACTCTTAAATTATATCAACTCAATGTAGTACACACTTTCATAATTTTTTTAAAGAAAAATTATAATAAAAAAAATTCAAAATTTGATCCTTATAATAAAATAAATATTGAGTTTTTAGTTTGTCAATTAAACCTTAATATTTTGATTTATTTTGAATCTAAACTATATTTTTATTTTCACTAAATAAACCCAACTTAAAAAAAAAAACTTTAATTATCAAACTCAATAAAAAATAATATTTTAAATATTTTATATATATTTACATTGAGTTTTATGACTAAAATATTATTTTTTTTTATCGATTTTACTTAATGAAAATAGACAAATAATTTATATTGAAAATAAATAAAGATATTAGGATTTAAAATGAAAAAAATTAAAAATTAAGATTTATTTTGTTACCAGATTCAAGCATAGATTTTTTTTTTTCTTGTTGTAATTTACCATTTTTTAATGGGAGAACTACGTGCAGGTGGGAGAAGGAAAAAAAATTACCAACATATGGGGGTGCAAGTGTGTTGTGGTAGGGTACAACTGAAAGACTGTGGGAGTACTTGCGCTCCCAATGTGTTGGTTATTTGTTTTCCATTATCTCACTTGCATGTAGTTTTCTCATTTTCAATTTAAAATGTGACACATAATAATAAAATTTAAAAATAAAAAAAAATTGAAATTCAAAACAATATTGTTATAATTTAATAAAGTAAATTTACGGACAAATTATGTTAGTAGTTCTTATATTTTAACTCTTATATCATTTTGATTTTTATAATTTTAATTGATTCGATTTTATCATAAATTGTTGACTTTGTCTATTTTGATAAAATTTATTACAATTGTGAGTATTATTTTATGAAAAATGTACAAATGAGCACCATTTGTCATGCTTTGACAGATAAAATTATAAATTTCATTAATTTTAGGCTCCGTGTGGGATATTAATTTGGACAAAAATAGCTATATATATATAAGACAAAATAGGTTATTTTAGCTAAATAAGACACAATATCACATTCAACCTAGAATCATTTTATTTTTTTCACAAAAAAGTCAAAAAACTTGTCCCAAACGAGACTTTTTTGCTTTTTTACTATTTTAGTATAGAGCTAAAAGTCTCGTTTGAAATAAGTTTATTGACTTTTTTGAGAGAAAAAAAATAAAATGATTATGGGTTGGATGTGAAGTTTTGTCTTATTAATTTGTTAGTCTATTTTGTCTTTTTATAGCTCTTTTAACCCAAAACCAACATGCCAAACATTTTGGAAAAATGGTTATATTCAGTGTTTTTGTGAAAAGCTGCTTATAAGCAGTTTTTTTGTGAGAGAGGAAGTGAGTTATAATCTGGGAAGCGGATTATAACCCACTTCTCAAAATAGGCCATAAAACCTTTGTGATAAATTTTCGTTAAAAAAAAAAAAACCCTAATGCATTGCCAATTAGATAAAATTAATAAAAAATTAGGGAAATATCCCTCTTTAACTTTTGGTAGCAGAAGAGATCCAATATTTTTTTTTATTAGTTAAGATCCTTCGATAAAATTTTTCTGTGTGAAAATTAAATTTTTTCTACATCGGAACGAAATTTTTCTGTATTAAATTTTTTTTATGGAAATGTTAAGAGACCCTCCCATTATTATGAAAATATTACGTCTTTTATTTTATAAAATTTTAATAATAGGGATCTTAATTTTGTTTTTAAATTGAAACAAAATATAAAATTAATGATAAAAATTAAATAGAGATGAAAATGACTTAACAAGTAAAATGGAAGAATAGCCAGTGTATTTACTATATTTTGCCAAAATTATGTATAAGATTTACGTGTTTATATTAATTTTAAACTACTACTAAAAAAACAAAGAGGCTATCACGTTTTTGTCCGTAGATCAGGAGATGCCACGTGGAAGCCTTGTTAGACGTGGATCCCACGCTGACGTGGAGACTTTTAGAGAAAGAGAGAGAGGGGCAAACAAAGATATAGAGCGAGAAACGAGGCGCGGGGAGGCCGTCCAAAAACTGCAGGCAAAAAAGAAAGAAGAGAGAGGTAATTTGTTATGAAATATAAACCTCAGGGGGTAAATTGTTATTAAAATACAAACCTCAGGGGGCGGGATGTAATTTCCGAAACCTCAGAGGTATCTGTAATTTAACAAAACCTCGAGGGGTGTATATGTAATTTGCCCTAATTTTAAACTACTACTAAAAAAACAAAGAGGCTATCACGTTTTTGTCCGTAGATCACGAGATGCCACGTGGAAGCCTTGTTAGACGTGGATCCCACGCTGACGTGGAGACTTTTAGAGAGAGAGAGAGAGAGGGGCAAACAAAGATATAGAGCGAGAAACGAGGCGCGGGGAGGCCGTCCAAAAACTGCAGGCAAAAAAGAAAGAAGAGAGAGAAGAAGAAAGGAGAGAGAGAGAGAGAGCTGCTGTTTTTTCCCCATCTTCTCGGTTGCCTCTCCCCTAACCAAAGTCGTTTTTCGTTTATCACTTTCTCTCCTTTTTAGGGCAACAATTAACTTCAATTAATATAATTATAGAAAAATTCAGTTTACGAAAATATACAGACCAACAGTCTACAGATCAGCCCAAAAAAAAAAAATAAAAAAATAAAAAAATAAAAAAAAATTCAAATTCAGATCTTGCTGCTATCAATCCTCAATTCACTCCGATCATCAGTGCATTTCACAGATTCCTTCATTCACAATTTATTTATGTAAATTTCCTCTTTACCGTTGCTCATTTTTTTGAATCCTTTGGAGAAATTTTGGGATATTGAGGTGTTTAGCTCGGAGATCCTTCTAGATTGTTCCCTAGAAGGATTTGGATCTGCCGGAGACTGATTTGCCGGAGGGACATTCGTCGGATGAGAAAAGGTGTAGAGATTTCTGAAACCGTATTGGAAAACGATGAAATGGGTAAGATTGCTTAAAGACTTCAAAGAAAAGGTCGGTATTTCTCAGCCTCCTTCCTCTGCGTCCTCTTCATCATCATCTTCGTTCTCTTCCAATCGAGATAACAATGTCACTTCAACCAAACATGACTACATGGCGTCATTGCCTTCAAGGTATGTGATTTTTATTATTTTTATCCTAATAATTTTTTTTTATTTTGGTTGCGGTGAAGCTGTGAATGTGATGTATTTGTGGTGGCATTATGTATAACAGTTGCTAATAGTATTATATTTAATGGGTTTGATATGGTTTGGCAATACCCTAAATGGGTTTTTTATTTTTTATTTTTTATAACTGATGTTTACTGGGTTTTGTATGATCTTAAATGTGGAAGAGCTCTGTTGATTAAACTCGATGACTAGAACACAACTCTGGACTGTTTGATGAGGTTCACATTTTTCAATTTAAGAAAGAGAGGTTTTATGGGTATTTAGGGAAGCTGCTTAGTATTGCTGGGTGGCAAATACATTCTAACTGTGGATATTTAACTTCATACTCAAGGTTGCATATTATTATCATGTGGCTAATTTTGCTGCCTGGTTAATGGGGAATTAGCAAATGGTGTAAGTAACCACTAGGGACATGTTCTTCTATGATACTTCTCTCTTTTCAAGAATCTGAAGGAGGATAGCACAACTATGTCAATCACAACCATTTGATGCAAACTAATCTTTCTTTTTGTGATTTTCATTTTTCAGTTTTTAATAGTTACTAGCATCTTTTATTTTACCAATCAATTATGGTCCAACTTGGTCTTCTTTATAATCTTGCTTTATGCCTTGCCAAGATGGTTGAAGAATATTATTCAAATATTGATCATCATGTCTTGGTTCATATTATCAGTTGACATGTTTTTCAATGGGTAATTTACACTTTACATCCTTGGGAATAGACCCAAAAAGATGGAGCCTCCATAACATTTGTTTTGGGACACTAAACCCCCTTATATATGATGTCAAACTGCAAAAGTGAACGAAAGTAATGGAAAATATAGAAACAAAAATTAACCCTAATATATTTAGGAAATCTTTTGCATGGTATACTCCATCTCTAGATTCTCCACCTCCGGTGGTCACAACCACCGCCTAAGACACTTCTCTTCCTCTCTTTCTACTTTCTTCTCTTTTACTCATCTTCCCCCTCTCTCTCTTGACAAACCCATATGAACTATCCACCATCTTTCTAGGTTCATGGCTCCCACCAAATTCTCTCTCTCTCTCTCTCTCTCCCCACAAAGGCAGATGAACTATCCACTATCTTTCTAGGTTCATGCCTCCCACCAAATTCTCTCTCTCTCTAAACCTAAACAGCTCGGTTGGCGATTTTTTGTCTACTTCATTGAACTAAAATTGGGAAATTCAATTGTCATGTGTGCTCCAAATGCAACAAGTAAACCTTAACACAAGTTTGCCCAAAACATGATCAGAACTAAAAAAAAATCCCCTGTTTTCATTAGACCAAATCCTTAACTCCATATATACATATGTCATAGGGATGTAGTTTTTTTATACTTCTCGTTATTGGTAACAAATTCACATTTGAGAGGTTTTCCTCTACAAATTAGTACCAAATTCATCAGAACATAAAATCTAATAATAGAGTTTCGTTGCTGCCGTATATATGTATGTACAAATAAATTGATGTTATGTTTTTAGTGCAACATTAAATTTATATTTGTTTATGAACTTTTCTTGAGCATTCAATTGACAGCCACGTGCATAAAGGATGGTAACGTTTTGAAGGCCACACAATAGGTAATTTTGGAATGTTGAGTGGTGCTAGTGGAGAGATAAAGAGCAATTAAGGTGGCGATGACTGTGTAGCCACTGGAGATGAGGGGGAGAGAGGGAAAAAATGATGAGGTAGAGAAAGAGAAGAAGATAAGGGGTGGTTATGGTAACCACCAAGGCTGAAGAAGAAGGGGCAGGTAATCATTCGGCATACCTATTCCTCCAGAAAAAAAGAGGGGCGCAATTGTCTATTTTGCTGGTCAAATATGGAAGGCTTAATAGTAACAATCAATTTAAATCGCACGTGATAAGCGCGCTAGTAAATTGGACAGAAATCCTAATGGTTATAGTTTAGTATTTAATATAAGAGTGTTTAGTGTCACAAAGTAAATGTTAGAGGGGTTTTGTAATTTTGGGTCTAACCTCAACAAGGTAAAGTGTAATTTACTTTCACAAATCCTTTAAAAAAGAAGCATATGTATGATTTATGTTGCATGGACTTGGGTACAAGTATTAAGTGCGGGCAAGTGTTTGTTAGAAACCAACTAGGCCTAGCCTAGTTGGCCACCATGCCTTCCTTAGGGCTTAGGCCCAAAGTGGTCATGGGTTCAATTCCCCTTAGGGGGGGTTGAATTAAGGGAGTGCAAGCACTTAGATGCTTTGTCAAGGGTGGGGAGATTTTCTTCCATAGGTGCTAATCTAACAATTAACATTTGCCGATAAAAAAAAAAAAAAAAAAATGTGTTTTAAGTGTTAGATTTCCATAAAGCTAGATTTTAGGATATAGAGATATGTATTCAAAAGTTGGATATGGGTATGAGGATGTGTCATGGACATTTATATAAATTATATTTGTATAATATTCTTAGATAAGATATTGTAGATTATGTAGAAATGTATTTGAAATTAATAGAATTTAAGAAAAATAGAAGATCTCTCTATCTTATGTATGTGAGAGACTAAAGATGTTTATTTACTAGCAAATATGAGTTTTTTCTTCTTTAAAAATAGCAAAAAGTTAGAGGAAGTGTCTAAATTAGGTATAAGTGTTGGATACATCCACACTTTTATTCTTGTTTGATCCAGTGGACACTAGTACTTTGGGAAAAATAAAAGAGTCAATGTAACATAGAATATGATGCCTCTTAGGAAAGGATTGTTTAGTAATAGATGGTTAAGTACATATTTGGTGGATCATTAATTAGTTTTGAGCAATTGGGTTCAAGATAGGTGAGATATGTTAGAATAGGAAACAAGTTAGAATAGGAAATAAGTGATTGTATTTTCTTCTTATTTATTCCCTTGATTGGTGTAATGGGCTGGCCAATATATTATGCCTTATGGCACTCTTGTAATTACTTAGTATTATTAATATAAAAGGGAATGAAGTCTAACTCATTCCCTAACTCATTCTCTTTTCTAAACCTACATGGTATCAGAGCCATCACTACAGGTGATCTCCTCTCTCCTATAGACCAGACAACAGCCCTAAATAGGTCTTCCAGCATCGTCTAACCCCGACAACCTCTACCTAGGTCTCCCTGTCCATTCTCTCCCTTCGACAGCCATCACAAAGGCTTCTCTCTCCCTTAGTAGGCCTCTCCAGCCACTATTGAGGGTTTCTAGGGGGCCAACTAGCCTTCTTGTTGATCTGGTTGAAGTCGCCTGGCCCTTAAGGGTCGCCTGGAGTGGTCGCTGCTCTTCGTAGTCTCGCCTGGGGTGGTCGTTGCCCTTCGAAGTCCTCTGGTGATATAATACGTCTCTTACGTAGACTTATGGTGATGTTATACACAGTCACCTGATGTTATAAATAGTACCAAAGCAGACCAAAAACAAAAAAAACAAAAAACCTCTGGTGATATAAAAACAATCTAGAAACAAAACCACACTGGATTCTCCCTCCTTTATGCTTTTATAGTTTTATAGTTACTGTTGTGCTTGTTACTCCCCTCTCGTCTTTCGGGTTTGTAATTGGCATCGTGTTTGAGGAATAATTAGTTGAGTCTCCATGGCGGATTTGACCAGTGAATCTACTACCTCTTAGCCATCTCAGGGTGAGAGTTCTGTTATCCCTTCCACTATGACTGATAACCTCCACACTGGCCTTAGAATCACCGCTTCTCTATTCAATGGTTAGAATTACCAAGCGTAGTCGCAGAGTCTGACTATTTTCTTGAAGAGTAAGAGGAAGATAGGATATGTTGATGGGCAGGTTTAGGCACCCAGTATCACCGACCCTCATTATGACCAGTGGGAGATCACTAATTCTCTGATTATGGGCTGGTTGATCCATTTTATGGTAATGGAGATTGGAGAGGGCTACTTGTCTATGGACGCTACTCAGGATATTTAGGAGGACGTAGCAACTATTTATTCCAGGAAGGGAAACTTCTCACAGGCTTTCGAGTTACGTCGCTCTATTGAAAGGTTGGTACAAGGTGAGCAGACTATCCTTTAGTATTTTACCTTCCTTAGCAATGGGTGGAAACGGCTTGATCACCTTCAGGATTACAAGCTTGTCTGTCCCACTGATTCTGCTGGTTACCAGAAGTTTGTGGTGTAAGAGAAGGTCTTCAAGTTCTTGGAAGACCTAAATGTGAAGTATGATCCGGTTCGGAGCAGATTACGTAGCATGGATGTGCTTTCTTCTCTTCAGGAAGCCTTTGCTTTTGTGCAGAATGAGGAGAGTCGCCGTTCTACGATGCTTCCTTCTGCTACTACTGCTCGTTCGGCCTTGGTTTCTGCACCCTCTCGCGATGATGACCGTGTGACTCGTGGTTCTTGTCCTTCCTCTAAGAAGGATAATCTTTACTGTGACTACTGTCATCGATCTCGCCACAGACGCGAGATTTGTTGGAAGTTGCATGGAACTCCCTCTGGTAGCCGAGGTGACCGTCCTGGTCCTCGAGGGGGTCGGTCTGGTACTCGAGGCTATGGGGCCAATGCACGAGTCCATTTTTCAGACACTGTTGAGCCACCATTTTCATCTCCAATTGTCTCTTCCCCTGCTAATGTCTCGGGATTATCTGCCTCGGATTTTGAGATTGCTTTTCGCCACTTGCTAGACCGTCGAGCCTCCACTTCTGCTACAGGTGCACTCTCTTCTTCCTTTGCTAATTCAGGTAACTTGGCTTCCTTCCCATGTGCATTGCTATCTCATACGACTGTCCCATGGATTATTGATTCTGGTGCTTCCGACCATATGTCCGACTCCTCTAATTTATTTTCTGAGTATAACCCCTCCTCAGGTCAGGAAAAAGTGTGTATTACTGATGGTACCATTTCGTTTATGTTAGAGAAATGTTTAATTCATGCCACCTCTTTCCTTCCTTTGTCTTTTGTCTTTCATGTTCCCAATTTCAGTGTTAATCTTTTATCTTTGAGTCGTATTATCCGTGACTTAAATTGTAGCGTGATGTTTTTTTCCTGATCATTGTCTTTTCAGGACCTTATCACGAGGAAGAGGATTGGCCGCGGTAGAGAGGAACATGGACTCTACATTCTGGATCAGACAGACAAGCTGACTCATTCATCTATTCAGTTACCCTCCACCAAGGAAGGCATTTGGCTGTGGCACCGTCGTTTAGGACATCTCTCTTTTTTATTACTTAAGTATTTATTTCCTTCTATTTTTGAGAAAAATAATGTGTCAGATTTTTAATGGGAGTCTTGTCAACTTAGAAAACAACATAGAGCCTCTTTTGCTCCTTCTATTAATAAAAGTTTAGTTTTATTTTTTTTATTCATTCTGATGTATAGGGTCCATCCCGTTTTGTGTCTTCAACCGGTAAAAAATGGTTTGTTACCGTCATAGATGATTGTTCCATGGCCACTTGGATCTATTTGATGAAAGATAAATGTGTGGTATTTTTTGTGTTTCAAAATTTTCATAAAATGGTTTGTACTCAGTTTGGGGCGGTTGTCAAAATTCTACGTTCTGATAATGGGAGGGAATATATTGACTTTGATTTTGCCATTTACTTCGCTACTCATGGCGTTATTCACCAAACTTCATGCAATAATATTCCTCAACAAAATGGTGTTGCAGAACGCAAAAATCGCCATCTTCTTGATGTTGCCCGTTTTCTATCCTTTGAGATGCGGGTTCCTCGATCCTATTGAGGGGAAGCAGTTCTCACTGCCGCTTATTTGATTAATCGTCTTTCTACCCAAGTCCTTAAAAAACAAACACCTTTTCAAGTTTTGTTCGGTCTACCCCCTTTCGGGTTCTCCATTCCTCCTAAGACTTTTGGCTGTGTTTGCTTTGTCTATAATCATCCTCCCACTCACAAATGGTTTGTCTCCATGGATGTCGCTTTCTTTGAGTCTTAGCCTTACTTTCCGATCCTTTCGGTCTTCTCGTCATCCCTTCAGGGGGCGCCTTGGTGTGAAGAGATTCCTGTTCCACTTCCGCTAGTGGTTGACCAGACAGAGGATGATGAGCCAGCAGTTGTTGAAAAAAAGGAAGCAGTCAAAGTTTATATCACGGACAAGGACAGGCGGCAAGTCAACTGGATGTAAGAGCCTACTTTCCTTCCTTTACTGCTAACTGCTTCTCCGGATGAGTGTCCAGAGCAATGATTTCAAACCCGGACCGGACCGGCCGGTCGGACTGGTTGGACCGGGAACCGGGCCTTGTTCCAGTCCGGTTAACCCCTTTAACCCGGAGTGGCTTAAAAACCGAGAAAAACTGGTGACCCAGTGGTCGGACCGGCAAAACCGGTGACCCAGACCGGGTCGGGAGGGTCGGACTGGTCTGTCTTTTTGTTTTTTTTTTCTTTTCTTTTATTTTCTTTCTTTCTTTCCTTATATATATATATATTTCAAAATTTTGACTAAAAATTCTTATTTCAAGAGTCTCTTCTCATAAGGAAGAGTCTCATTGAAAACTTGAGATGAGAAGATTATGAAAGTCTATTCTTATTTATAGGAAAATATTTTTCAAAGAGAACCTACAAAATTCTATGTGGGATTCAATCAAATTATTTGAAACATATTGATTGGAGGGAGGGTTGAAAATTTCATTTCCCTCCAAAATTAAATCTAGCATTCAATCAATTTGTTTGGAGGGAATGTTTAAAAAATTTAATTTCTTTAAAATAAGTGACTTTTTTTTTTTATCAATTATGACTTTATTAAATATTATTAATAAATACTATGCAACAATTTTTATTTTTATTTGATTATTTATATATGTTTTTATTTATTTTTAATTTATAGTTATATTTTTTAATTATATAATATTAATTATGACATCACGGTTCGACCGCTTTGACCCGACGATTGAACCAGTGACCCGTCCGCCCGGTCCCTTTTCTGGTTCGCTCACTGGTTCGGTTTTGAAAACATTGGTCTAGAGCCACCCCCAATCCTGAGAGTCTAGGCAATTCTGATTCTAGTGCTTCTATTTGTGATTTTTCAGATCTAGATGTTCTCATTGCTAATAGGAAGGGGGTTAGGTCATGTTCTCAGCATCCTGTTAGCAATCATGTCTCTTATTCTCATTTGTCTTCCTCATATAAAGCTTTTCTGTCTAAAGTGTCTTCTGTGAGTCTATCTACCAATTTTCAGGATGCTCCCTGTCATGATAGAAGAGGTGAGAGCTCTCAGCAAGAGTGGCACTTGGGAGTTAGTGGAGTTACCTAGAGGCAAAAATCCAGTTGAGTGTAAGTGGGTGTATACGGTAAAACACAAAGCAGATGGTTCCATAGAACGGTATAAAGCAAGACTGGTTGCTAAGGGCTTCACTCAGACTTATAGGGTGGATTACCAAGAGACATTTGCATCGGTTGCTAAGATGAATTCTGTGAGAATCTTATTCTCTCTTGTTGCAAAGTTAGATTGGCCACTTCATCAGTTTGATGTGAAGAATGCCTTCCTTCATGAAGACTTAACAGAAGAGGTCTATATGGATATTCCTCATGGTTTTGCAAATGCTAAGTCCAACGGTAAAGTACGCAGGCTCCAAAAACTTTATGGGCTAAAGCAGTCTCCTAGGGCTTGGTTTGAAAGGTTTGCTCAAGCTATGCTGAAATATGGGTTCAAGCAAAGTCAAGCTGATCACACCTTGTTTGTGAAACACTCCTCACATGGTAAGACTACAACTCTTATTGTCTTTGTTGATGATATTGTTCTGACAGGAAATGATGTTGAGGAGATTCCTCGTTTGAAAGAATACTTAGCCAAAGAGTTTGAAATCAAAGACTTAGGCTATTTGAAGTATTTTTTGGGCATTGAAGTAGCTCGGTCCAAGGATGGCATCTTCATATGCCAGAGGAAGTATGTACTTGACTTGCTAAAGGAAACTGGAATGCTTAGAGGTAGATCATGTGATACACCTCTAGAACCGGGTGAGAAACTAAGTGAGGATCAAGAGGGAGATCCAGTAGACAGGGGGAGATACTAGAGACTAGTGGGCAAGCTCATATTCTCATCCACTCACGTTCAGATATTGCCATTGCCGTGAGCATGATGAGCCAGTTTATGCATGCTCCTAGAACTTCTCACTTGGAAGCAGTTATGAGAATCCTGAGATACCTGAAGTCTTCTCTTGGAAAGGGTCTCTATTTCTCCAAACATGGCCATCTTAGTGTGGAGGCATTTACTGATGTAGATTGGGCTGGATCAGTCACTGACTGACGATCAACTTCCAGATACTGTACATTTGTTGGTGGCAACCTAGTCACATGGCACAGTAAGAAACAGAATGTGGTGGATAGATCTAGTGCTGAGGCAAAATTCAGGACTATGGCTCAGGGTGTATGTGAGTTACTATGGATTAAACTATTGTTGGGAGACTTGGGAATCTATCAGACTGACTCTATGCGACTATACTGTGACAACAAGGCCGCAATCAACATAGCACATAATCCAGTTCAACATGATAGAACTAAGCATGTGGAGATTGATAGGCACTTCATCAAGAAAAAATTTATTAGTGGCATCATGTGTATTCCATTTGTGAAGACTGGTGACCAACTAGCCGATGTTCTCTCACCAAGGGGTTAGGGAGCAAACCATTTCATGGCATTCTCAACAAGTTGGGCATGAGAGATATTTTCGCACCAGCTTGAGAGGGAGTGTTAGAATAGGAAACAAGTTAGAATAGGAAATAAGTGATTATATTTTCTTCTTATTTATTCCCTTGATTGGTGTAATGGGCTGACCAATATATTATGCCTTATGGCACTCCTGTAATTACTTAGTATTATTAATATAAAAGGGAATGAAATCTAACTCATTCCCTAACTCTTTCTCTTCTCTAAACCTACAAGATATATTTGAGAGTCTAATGTAGCAATATAATGCAGATATACCTGAGAATTTAACATAGCGATGTATCCATTTTCAGGTGTTAGTTTACTAGCCCAATACAAACATCCCAAGGACATTACAAAACATTCCAATTTTTTCATACGAATATTGCCACCACTGCTTTATTGTATAAATAAATGTTTTTTTTTCCTTTTCTGATTGCTCATCTTAACTCTGTATAATGCTCTTCTTCTTCTTTGTCAAAGCAGAGACAAACTTGAATTGGAATTGGACTTCAAGAGAAATTGGGAAGAGTTCCGTTCATCAAGTTCTGAAAAGGTCACTACTTGCAATGAGTTTGCTTTGTTTGCTGGTGTTTTTTTGGTTAAAATCTGCTTTACAAAAGTTACATATTTCCATTTTTTTTTTTTTAAATTATGAAACTAATGGTTTCTCTTTTTTCCATGCAGGAGAAAGAAACGGCCTTGAATATGACTATAGATCTTTTCTGTAGATTAGTACAGCAGCATGCTAATGTAGCTCAATTAATTACCATGTACGGAAACAATCATCCAGATCTAATTTGTTGCCTCAATTTTGAAATATTTTATGAAATTTACTCAATTTGAAGATATGTTCATTGCTATGGGTTTTTTGTCCTTTTAAATAGATAATATTTCGTGGTTATTACCCGGGAGTTGAGGCATACGATACAATTTACGTATTTGTCCTTTTTATTCTATTATTCTATTATTCTTTTTATTTTTTATTTTATATTCTTCTTGGGTTTCATGTTAGTTTTCAATGGCAAATGCTACATTACAAATGTAATTAGAAGAAATTGTATGCTCACTCCATCCCATACTCCCATTTTGTTTCTTACTTCCCATTTATGGAAGTCCCATTATGCATCTTTGTTTGAAAAGTTAAAAGTTTTATTAGTCACTTTCCTGTATTATCCTTATTTAGATTTGTGTTTAAAAAAAATTTCCAATTTCCAAAAAAATTGTTCATATGCAGTTATGATGCCTCGTGTTAAAATTCTTGACATCCACATGTAGTTAATTTCCATCTTCGGGTTTAAGATTTGTTTATTTCTTAAATATGTATTGTGGTGATCGACACATTTGTCATTTGGCACATCTTTTCATGGATTGTAGCTTCACTTTGGTTGGTGCATGTTAAAATCAACACCCACATACTTTGGAATGTTTTAAGAAATTGATCAAGTTTGGTGTTGCTTCCCCAAAATTATACAGATGTTGACTAACTTTTGAACTGTTGTTGATTCTCAGGTTAGTTGAAACACATATATTCTCTTTTGTTGTGGGGAGGGCATTTGTAACAGATATTGAGAAGTTAAAAATTAGTAGCAAATCAAGATCTTTGGATATTGGAAGAGTGTTAAGCTTTTTTTCAGCAGTCACAAAGGTTTGTCTGTTGGTTCCTTTTATCTGAATACTATCCTCTAGTTCTTCTTCATTTCTTTTTCTTTTTCTTTCTTTTGTTTTCACTTAAAGATTTCTTCCATGTGGTAATGTGATATATATGGATATATATTTGTGTACTCTGCAGGATGGCATCAAGCCTGGTTCAAATTTGTTACAAGCAGTGGGAGTCCTTGTATCTGGGGTATATTCGTAAGCTTCATTAGTTTGGAAATACTAAAATAGTCTCTGAATTTTGATGTTTGCATTTTGTACAATCAAAATATTTTAATTTTGTATAAATCTTATTGACCTTTTAAGTTCCTCTAAAACTATACTACATTGAATAATTTATGTTTTTAAAAATGAGTTAAGGTAATCACTTAAGTAACTATTTTCTATGTTGAAATTTAGATTGCTAAATACTTCGTACACTATGAGCTGAATTAGTGATGTCGTTGTATGGGTTATACAGTTGCTCACATGTCTGGAGATTTTGGACCTTATTTTTCTAACCTGTAAATGATTTTGATTGGTTGCAGCCTATTGATAAACAATCTCTCCTTGATTCTGGGATTTTATGTTGTCTCATCCATATTTTCAATGCTCTTTTGGGTCTGGATGAGGGGAATCAGAAGCAAAAGACTTCTGCTCAGGAGAATCTGCTACTGACTGAGAGAAGTAATGATGGCAATGTTGGTCAAGTCCGCCGGCTTGAGGTAGTTTCATTTCCATGGTTGCCTGCCTTACTATTCATTGTCATGTTCTGAAATTTTATATTCTACAATTTAACTTTTTGGTCAATCTAACATGCAGTTCGGTGAACACTAGCTTTTTTTTTTTCCTTCTATATTTGAATATGATTTTATAATGTTTTCTGGGCTGATGTCCTATTTGTGTGCACCTTGTTGGTGCAAACATTATTATTCCTAGGGTGTCTTGCCCGGGTTATGACTCTGAGAGTTGCAATGCTATTAACTTGAAAGTTTAAGACTTACATTGGTTTGGTTGAGTAATGAGGTATAAACATCAGTTACTCTATCATGTAACTGTGACACTGACATAAGCGCTAGTGTTGGGCTAGGCTTCAGTTGCCAGGCAAGGTGACCTTAACTGCTCTCCTCTTTATCCTTTTTGTGGCCAACACATCTATGTATTATTCACTACAAACCTACTAACTTGTGCTATTTTGAGTATGACATGGACATTAAGCAATGTACCTCGTATTTTTTTGCAGCAAAGTTGCACGTGCTGAAATTTTTTGATTTCTTGAATGCCGACTTTTAATTGAAATGTACTACCTTTTATTGTGAGTGAGTAAAGAAATAACTTTGCAAAGAAGAAGAAGAGGGGGTTTGGGAGACTCTTCCAAGTTTCAATTGAAGATTCCTGTTTTGTTATCCCCATATTTTGAAAGATTATTTGGGTTCAATTGGTTCTTCCCAAGGTTAATAAAGCCTTGGTTTGGACACAGGACCATGGGAAGGTGAATACTCTTGAATGCTTCAAAAAGAAGAAAAAAACGAAAAAAGAAAAAAGGAGGAACCTAAAATTCTTTCTCAATAAATGTGGACATGGGTAGAAAAGATATTAATTTACCTATCTTTTTGGCAGGCTCAATGTGGATGGCAATAACTGAAATTTTAAATTCTGTCTGTTTTTTTCTAATGGAAAACATGGAAGTGTACTACATTAGCATCGTTAAGATGTACCTGTTTGAGAGAAATAAAGAGTTGTTGACAATAAAAGTCCGAGGATTAGTACTTTCGGTGAGTGAGTGATGGTAAAGGATGAGATGAGTGATGGTGACACCCAACAAGCTATTTTTGTTTTATTATCCATCGGGAAAACACATGCTTTAGTTTCATTATTCAAGGTATCTATATGAATCCTTAGAAAATATGCATTGATGGAAGTGTTCTAATCCAACTTAGTTTCATCAAGAGCCCTAGGGCTAGTAATATCAGTGGTCTTTCGGGCATTGACAGATTCAACTTGGTCTATATTCTTCTCAAGGTGTTTTGCTGGGGCTGATGTTATTTTTGCTGACTTCATCACGGGCTTCTTTGGCTAAGACATACTGTGTCATTTGATGTTTAATCTCAATAATATTTTTCTATGACGATCCCTGTTTTTATTTGGTCTACTATACCATGAATGCCTTAAACACAGTATGTCTTACGTAGATAACTATTCCAATCAATTCATGTGGCAATTGTGGTTGAGTTTGTTTATGGGCTGGAAGAGGACTTTTCTTGGAGCTACTTTCTTTATATGGTTGCTTGATTGAGGATTTAAAGATACATCTAAGAATCATATCAATACTCGGATAATGATCAAAGTATTCTTCATTCGTGCAGGTAGAAGGAAGCATTGTTCATATTATGAAAGCTTTGGCTAGCCACCCTTCATCTGCACAGAGTTTGATTGAGGATAATTCACTTCAGTTACTCTTTCATATGGTTGCGAATGGATCTTTGCTTGTTTTCTCTCAATATAAGGAAGGTCTTGTCCCATTGCACACCATCCAACTTCACAGACATGCTATGCAGGTTAGCATTTAATCACTTGTTCAGCTGCATGTGGGGGGATATAGCTTGGAGAAAATTTCAACTCAGTTAAGTGCACATCCTGAATTTCAAATCATGTACAAGGCCTGATTGTTAAATTTTGTTCTTGTTCCAGATACTTGGTCTTCTTTTGGTTAATGACAATGGCAGCGCAGCCAAGTATATTCGCAAGCATCAACTGGTATGGCATGACATTTTTATTTTATTCACTTGTTATGCTTGAAATAAATTCATCATTTTTTTTCACCAAATAGTAGGATATTGTTTACAAAGATCGAGTGAATTACATCAAACTGGACAATCAACTATGAAAGAAAGTCCAACTACACTTACCCCCGCAAGCCCAACACCAGCATCAATCAATACAAGAAAGAGCCCTATTAATATATTATCTGCTGAGTTATGATATAATATTTAGCTCATTGCAAATCATGTGGGGAGTATCCCAATCATTTACTTGGTCAACCTATTCATTTACACTCGAAACCTTCTTTTATGGGCTTATGTCATAAAATTTTGTAAAGGAGTTCATCATTATTTGATTATGTTTCATGAATTTGTCTTTTATGTGCTTGTTTTATGTGTTTCTTACCTCCTGCTACTTTCACAACCCACACCAAAAATTTAGTTATATGAAACTATGATAGAGATGAACATTAGCTGTATCAATGCTGACATGCATTTTAAATTTGATTTTTTGTGGGGTAGCCTTTTTTCTATTATCCTTAATGTGGTTGTTGCCAGCTATGGTATCCTTGCTTTCTAGGGAGACTTGCATATTTGGTTATCTGCTTTTGTTGAAGTATAATGCGTCACTTAAAATGGATTTCTTCTTGGAATTGGATTTCAACATTTTCTTTTGGTTATAGTTATATTCCCATAATTATTGGGTAATAGATGACTGTTAATTGTTCTAACTTCTTATGAAGTTCTTCCTACATAATATTTCAAGTTGGCTTTAAAAAATTGTTTTATTGTTATATGTGGATCCATTTGTAGATGTGGTTTTCCATGTCTTGTTTCACAACTTGGATGCACATATCCTTTATTCTAGTTCTCTCATTGTTTCCATTTATGGTAAGTAGTTTTGCATGTAGCTATGGGTATGTAGTAGAAGCCATTTCTGATCTGGTATTATATTATTTTTGAGTGCAGATAAAAGTACTTCTAATGGCTGTCAAGGATTTCAATCCTGATTGTGGTGACCCTGCCTATACTATGGGCATTGTGGACTTGCTACTTCAATGTGTGGAATTGTCATACAGACCTGGTAAATGGCTTATTAGATCCCTTCTAGACTTGCTTAGAGCCTACTTATTGGTACAGAATTTCTCTTTATTGTTTTTAATGCTTTGAATACACACTGATTTTTTATGGTTGTAGGCATTGAAATAAAGTACTGTTCTTATAGTGATTCTGGTATTTTGAAATTCCTGCAGTGTAGATAGTGATATTCTTTTTTATTATTTAATTGTTTATTTTTTATTTTTAAATTAATGCTGATTTTGAAAATTTGGTTTGTAGAAGCTGGTGGTGTCAGGCTCAGGGAGGATATCCATAATGCCCATGGTTACCAATTTCTTGTGCATTTTGCTTTAATTCTTTCAAAAAATCCGGGCATGCAGGCTGTAAATGCTGAGCCGTTCTCTGACAAAACTTCTGCTTCAGACAGTTCACATACTGTTGATGTAGGAAGACAAGATTCAAGAGAAAATGGGGGGGACACCTCTGCACAAAATCTTTCACTGGTGCTTTCTAGGCTGCTTGATGTTCTTGTTGATTTAGCTCAAACAGGTCCTCCTGACAATACAGGATCTTCTGGGTACAGAGCTTCAAAAAGTTATAATAACAAGCCTAGTGGCCACAGCAGAAGTACACTTTCTTCTGATTGGCTTGCTGATGGAGTTTGGGAGACGGGTAATAACAAAGTTAAGGACCTAGAAGCTGTCCAAATGTTGCAGGACATTTTCCTCAAAGCTAAAACCACAGAACTGCAGGCAGAAGTCCTAAATAGAATGTTTAAAATATTTTCAAGTCATCTTGAAAACTACAAGTTGTGTCAGCAGTTACGGACAGTACCGCTCTTGATCCTAAATATGGGTGGCTTCCCTTCATCTTTGCAAGAGATAATATTGAAAATTCTTGAGTATGCAGTAACTGTTGTGAATTGCATACCTGACCAAGAATTGCTCTCACTTTGCTGCTTATTGCAGCAACCAATAACATCAGAACTGAAACACACCATTCTTTCTTTCTTTGTAAAACTCCTGTCCTTTGATCAACAGTACAAGAAAGTCCTACGAGAAGTTGGTGTGCTCGAGGTTCTGATAGATGATCTGAAGCAACACAAGTTTCTTTTGGGCCCAGATCAACCCAATAGTGACTTCAGTCAATTGGAGGGAAAATCCAGCTCAAACAGCTTCAAAAAACACTTGGACAATAAGGATGCAATTCTTTCTTCACCCAAGCTATTGGAATCTGGTTCTGGGAAGTTTCCTCTTTTTGAAGTTGACGGTACAATTGCGGTTGCATGGGATTGTATGACTTCCTTATTGAAGAAAGCAGATGCTAATCAAGCAGCATTCCGTTCAGCTGATGGTGTGACCATTGCTCTCCCTTTTTTGGCATCTGACATTCACCGATCAGGGGTCCTCCGGGTGTTGTCATGTTTAATCATCGAAGATGCTACACAGGTTTGTTGTCTTTCTATTCCTTATCATTTTGCTTGATGGGATTTAGTTTGATAAATCCTCTGTTCAAGAGTTCTCCCTCTTTCACTGTGTTGTTTGTTTCTGAAACTTATTTTTCTTTCTAAAAGTGTTGGACCACATTTAAGATCATAAGTTGTTGGAAATGTGTGTACTCATGCACAATAAGCTTACTTGTTTTTTAATCATCTGTCCTCGAAAGTGCTGATGGTCATTGATTTGTTCATATGCCAGGCTCATCCAGAAGAATTGGGTGCACTTGTTGAAGTCCTAAAAAGTGGGATGGTTACCAGTGTTTCAGGTTCTCAATACAGACTCCTAAGTGATGCAAAATGCGACACTTTTGGAGCATTGTGGCGCATCCTGGGAGTTAATAATTCAGCTCAAAGGGTTTTTGGGGAAGCCACTGGGTTTTCTCTTCTACTAACTACACTCCATAGCTTTCGGGGTGATGGAGAGGACATGAACCAATCTTGTTTAATGGTTTATGTTAAGGTATTTACATATCTATTTCGTGCGGTGACTGCTGGGGTGTGTGATAATGCTGTTAATAGGACAAAGTTGAACACAATCATATCATCCCAAACTTTTTATGATCTTCTATCTGATTCTGGCTTGATTTGTGTTGAGTATGAGAGGCAAGTCATACAGTTGTTGTTAGAACTTGCTCTTGAACTTGTTCTTCCACCATTCTTGACTTCAGAAACACTGGCATCATCTGATAATATCGAAACTGGGTCAGCGGGTTTTCTTAGGATATTCATTCTGCTAATGAAAGGGTGTATTATGCTGGTGCATAAGCATACGTTCATTATTGCTCCTTACTCCCAAGGTGCAGTTAGAAGTGCTGAACCTAATTGAGAAGCTTGCTCATGCTGGCTCCTTCAATCAAGAAAATCTCACTTCTGTAGGTGCGAAATAGATCATTTTGCTCCTGTTTCATTTCCCTCAATTTGGATTTAGTTTTCTTATTTTTTTGGCTATTTCATGTGGGTAGGTTGCGTGGAACTTCTTCTGGAGACAGTATACCCCTTCCTTTCAGGTTCGTCGCCATTAGTTCCCCATGCTTTGAAGATTGTGGAAGTCCTTGGGGCATATAGGTGGGGACTATCGCCAAAACTAGAAATTACTTTTTTCTGTTCAGTCTTTTCACAAATACTTGCTCAACTTCTGTTAAATTTGGAAATGAAGTTCATGTTGTTGGTGGCAGGTTGTCTGCATCAGAAGTCCGACTACTTATTCAATATATTTTGCAAATGAGACAAATGAAGTCAGTATTTAGCCTTGTTGATATGGTGGAGAAGTTAATTCTTATGGAGGATATGGCTTCAGAAAATGTTTCTCTGGCACCATTTGTAGAGATGGACATGAGTAAGATAGGGCATGCTTCTATTCAAGTGTCGTTGGGGGAAAGATCATGGCCTCCTGCCGCTGGTTATTCTTTTGTTTGTTGGTTTCAGTTCCGGAATTTCCTGAAATCACAAACAAAAGAATCAGAAGCTTCCAAGGCTGGACCTTCCAAAAAGCAGAACACTGCTAGTGGGCTGCACAATGGGGCACAGGTTCTCCAGATATTTGCTGTTGGTGCAGCAGATAATAGGAACACCTTATATGCAGAACTTTATCTTCAAGAAGATGGTGTTCTGACCCTTGCAACAAGCAACTCTTGTTCATTGTCATTTTCAGGGTTAGAACTGGAGGAAGGCAGGTGGCATCACCTTGCAATTGTTCATAGCAAACCAAATGCTTTGGCTGGACTATTTCAAGCTAGTGTTGCATATGTGTATCTTAATGGAAAGCTAAGACACACTGGGAAACTCGGATATTCACCTTCTCCATTTGGGAAACCTCTGCAGGTAACCATTGGAACACCGGTTACTTCTGCAAGGGTTAGTGACTTGTCGTGGAAACTCCGATGTTGCTATCTTTTTGAAGAGGTGCTCACATCTGGTTCTATTTGTTTCATGTACATTCTTGGTAGAGGATATAGGGGACTCTTCCAAGACACAGATCTTTTGCGATTTGTTCCTAATCAGGCTTGTGGTGGGGGCAGTATGGCCATCTTAGATTCATTAGATGCAGACTTGCCTTCAGCTTCTAACGCACAAAGACCTGAAAGTGCTAACAAGCAAGGGAGCTCTAAGGCTGATTGCAGTGGAATCGTTTGGGATTTGGAAAGACTAGGGAACCTCTCCCTTCAGCTATCTGGAAAGAAGCTTATATTTGCATTTGATGGAACATGTACGGAAGCTTTTCGAGCATCTGGAACCTATTCTATGCTCAATCTAGTTGATCCAATATCAGCTGCTGCTTCTCCTATTGGAGGTGTGTGATTAACTCTTGTCAACTTTTTTCTTTCTTGTTAGATTTTAACGTATTCAAATCTGAGTCGTCAGGTTTTTCTGATAATTTTGTCCCTGTTTTTCCCTTGACTTATTCAAATGAGAGCTTCTGTTATAGTTATATAAACCAGAGAAGTGAGATTTTGATTTGAATTTGTTTTTTTTCCCCCTTATTTTTGGTCCCCCCAGGTATACCACGTTTTGGACGTCTTCTTGGGGATATCTACATCTGTAGGCAATGTGTGATTGGTGATATTATCCGCCCTGTTGGTGGGATGGCTGTTGTGCTTGCTCTTGTTGAAGCTGCTGAAACCCGGGATATGCTGCACATGGCCCTCACATTACTTGCGTGTGCACTTCACCAAAATCCACAGAATGTCAGAGATATGCAAAAATATAGAGGATACCATTTGCTAGGTTTGTTTCTGTATCGTCGGATGCCATTGTTTGACATGCAGTCACTTGAGGTTTTTTTCCAGATTGCTGCATGTGAGGCTTCTTTTTCTGAGCCAAAGCTACAGGAAAGTAATCAGAGTACTCTGTCACCAGCTGCAAATAGTCACGAAACCAGCTTTGAGGATCTTGGTTTGTCGAAGTTGCATGATGAATTTTCTTCAGTTGGATCTCATGGAGATATGGATGATTTTTCTGCACCCAAAGATTCATTTAGTCATATTTCAGAACTTGAAAATGCTGACATGCCAGCTGAAACATCGAATTGCATTGTCCTGTCAAACGCAGATATGGTTGAGCATGTCTTGTTGGACTGGACCTTATGGGTAACAGCCCCAGTTTCTATTCAGATTGCATTACTGGGCTTTCTTGAGCATCTAGTCTCAATGCACTGGTATAGGAATCATAACCTTACTATTTTGCGGCGAATTAACCTTGTTCAACATTTATTAGTTACTTTGCAGAGGGGTGATGTTGAGGTCCCTGTCTTGGAAAAGTTGGTTGTATTACTAGGAGTCATTTTGGAGGATGGCTTTCTGGCTTCTGAACTGGAACATGTGGTTAGGTTTGTGATTATGACATTTGACCCAGCCGAACTGACATCACGTAATCAAATTATGCGAGAGTTGATGGGGAAGCATGTTATTGTAAGAAATATGCTGCTTGAGATGCTAATTGATTTACAAGTAACAATAAAATCAGAAGAGCTACTTGAGCAATGGCATAAGATTGTTTCATCCAAATTAATTACTTATTTTCTTGATGAAGCTGTTCATCCTACTAGTATGAGATGGATCATGACTCTGCTTGGTGTGTGTCTTGTCTCTTCCCCTACATTTGCCCTTAAATTTCGTGCTAGTGGAGGTTATCAAGGTTTGGTACGGGTGCTTCCAAGTTTCTACGATTCCCCTGATATATATTATATTCTTTTTTGTCTGCTATTTGGAAAGCCTGTTTATCCAAGACTACCTGAAGTTCGTATGGTGGATTTCCATGCCCTTATGCCAAGTGATGGAAATTATGGAGAACTGAAATTTGTGGAACTGTTGGATTCTGTGATTGCTATGGCAAAGTCTACATTTGATAGGTTATGCATGCAGTTGATGCTTGCCCACCAAACTGGCAATCTTTCCCAGGTCGCTGCTGGCATAGTGGCAGAGCTTGCTGAAGATAATGCAGATATGGCTGGAGAGCTTCAGGGTGAAGCTCTGATGCATAAGACCTATGCTGCCCGTTTAATGGGTGGAGAGGCATCAGCTCCTGCTGCTGCAACTTCAGTCCTAAGATTCATGGTTGATTTGGCAAAAATGTGCCCCCCTTTCTCTGCTGTTTGCAGACGGGCAGAATTTCTTGAAAGCTGTATCGACCTTTATTTTTCATGTGTTAGGTTTGTTTTATATGTTTTCTTATTCATACGCCTAATCTCTCTCTCTCTCTCTCTGTGATGACCACTGGGTTACTTGTTTTAAGTTTTAAGCAATGTTTGGTCATGGTAAACAGAAAATTCCTCCAAAATGATGTGACAATGCTATTTTTGCTATTAAGAGCCATATTGAAGGATGTTTTTGTTCTAAAATGAAAGGCCCCATTTGAACCACATCATTCTGTACAAAAGTTCTGATAATTTTCTGTTTGCATGGCATTACTCCATCTTAATAACATGAAGTTGACTGGACTTATGTTGATTCTGTCATGCAGGGCTGCTCATGCAGTGAAGATGGCGAAGGAACTTTCTGTAAAGCCAGAAGAGAAGAGTCTAATTGATGGTGATGATACCAATAGCTCCCAGAATACATTCTCTAGTTTGCCTCATGAACAGGAGCAGTCTGTCAAAACCTCCATAAGCGTTGGAAGCTGCCCTGAGGGGCAGCTGAGTACAAGTTCTGAGGATATGCCTATGCCTCCAAATAACATGGCTAGTGACAAAGCAGAGACAAGCATTACTAAGTGCCACATGTCTGTCAAACAAGGCAGCTCAAGAAGATGCTCAAACTTTTCTGAGCTTAGACGGTGAAGCTGTGGACCAGATGTCCACTGCCAGCACTAGCGAGTTCAGTTTTGGTGATATTAAAGGCACCCCGGATGCCATTAACCAGGCTGACTCACAAAGTTCTGCATCATTAACTATATTTGATTCTCCCATTTTTTCTGAGAAGTCTAATTCCAAGATCCAACTCACACCCTCTCCATCCCCAGTCATTGCATTGACATCTTGGCTGGGAAGTTCTAGTCATAGTGAATCAAAAGCTCAATCTGTTGCCACCCCTTCCGTTGAATCTTCTGTGTCTATGAGTGAACATGATCCATCGTCGGACTTGAAGTCCAGTTCTCAAGGAACATTTGCTGCAAATACATTTTTTGCGGTTAATCCGAAGCTTCTTCTGGAAATGGATGATTCTGGCTATGGAGGTGGTCCTTGTTCTGCAGGAGCTACTGCTGTTTTAGATTTCATGGCAGAAGTCCTTTCTGATTATGTGACTGAACATATGAAAGCTGCACAAGTTATAGAGAGTATTTTGGAAAGTGTTCCTTTATATGTTGATGCTGAATCGGTGTTAGTTTTTCAGGGCCTGTGCCTTAGTCGACTGATGAACTTCCTTGAAAGGCGTCTGTTACGTGATGATGAGGAAAATGAGAAAAAGCTAGATAAGAGCCGTTGGTCCTTGAACTTAGATGCATTGTGTTGGATGATTGTGGATCGTGCCTATATGGGTGCTTTTCCTCAGCCTGCGGGTGTTCTTAGAACTCTGGAGTTCTTATTTTCTATGTTACAGTTGGCAAACAAAGGTGGTCGAATTGAAGAAACAGCTCCTACTGGAAAAGGACTTCTATCCATTGGAAGAGGAAGCAGGCAGCTTGATGCTTATATATACGCAATTCTGAAAAATATGAACCGTATGATTTTGTACTGCTTCCTTCCGTCATTCTTGATCACCATAGGAGAGGATGATCTTCTTTCATGCCTAGGATTGCAAATCGAACAGAAGAAGAGATTCCCACCAAACTCTTCGCAAGAAGATGCAGTGGTTGATATATGCACTGTTTTACAGTTATTAGTTGCCAACAGGCGAATAATATTATGTCCTAGTAATATTGATACTGATCTAAATTGCTGTCTTTGTATAAATTTAATATCTCTTCTCCGTGATGAAAGACAAAATGTACGGAACATGGCAGTTGATATTCTCAAGTATCTTCTGGTGCATCGCAGGGCTGCAATAGAAGACCTACTTGTCTCCAAATCAAACCAAGGATCGCATCTGGATGTTCTACACGGTGGTTTTGACAGACTGTCAACTGGAAGTTTATCTGCTTTCTTTGAGTGGTTTCGTAGTTCTGAACAAGTTGTCAATAAAGTAGTGGAACAGGGTGCTGCTATTATGTGGGTGCAGTATATTGCTGGATCGGCTAAGTTTCCTGGAGTGCGAATTAAAGGCATGGATAGTCGTCGCAAGAAAGAAATGGGAAAAAGATCACGGGATAACTCAAAATTAGACCAAAGACACTGGGAACAGGTAAATGAACGGAGATATGCACTTGAACTGGTTCGTGATGCAATGTCCACTGAACTGAGAGTGGTTCGTCAAGATAAGTATGGATGGGTACTTCATGCTGAAAGTGAGTGGCAAACACATCTTCAACAACTTGTACATGAGCGAGGGATATTCCCAACGTCTAAATCCTCATTGGATGAAGATCCAGAATGGCAACTTTGTCCCATTGAAGGTCCATATAGAATGCGAAAAAAAATTGAGAGGTGCAAATTAAAGATTGATACCATCCAGAATGTTCTGAATGGACAATTTGAACTGGGGGAAGTAGAGCTTTCAAAAGAGAGAAATGAGAATGACGTTGATGCTTCTGATGGTTCTGATGCTGAATCTGATTTGTTTTTTAATCTTTTGACTGATAATGCAAAACAAGATTCTTTTGATGGTGAGCTCTATGATGGATCAGTTTTAAAAAAATCAGATGATGTCAGAGATATAGCCTCTAGTAGGAGTGAGTGGAATGATGACCGCGCCAGTAGCATAAACGAAGCAAGTCTTCATTCTGCTCCTGAATTCAGTGTCAGATCCACTTCAGAATCTGTCCCACAAGCAGAGAGCATACATGGAAGGTCTGATTTAGAATCTTCTTCAATGAAAATTGATGAGGTGAAAGTGACGGATGATAAATTAGATAAGGAACTAAATGATAATGGTGAATACTTAATTAGACCTTATCTGGAGCCTCTTGAAAAGATAAAATTTAGATACAACTGTGAGAGAGTCATCGGTCTTGACAAACATGATGGTATATTTCTGATTGGTGAACTTTCCCTGTACATTATTGAGAATTTTTACATAGATGATTCTGGGTGCATATGTGAAAAGGAATGTGAAGATGAACTCTCTGTTATCGATCAGGCCTTGGGTGTAAAGAAAGATTTTTCTTGCAGTATGGATTCCCAATCTAAGTCAACTTCATCCTGGGGTGTGACAGTTAATGCATACATTGGAGGAAGGGCATGGGCTTATAATGGTGGGGCATGGGGAAAGGAAAAGGTGTGTTCTGGCGGTAATGTGCCTCATCCTTGGCATATGTGGAAGCTTAATAGTGTTCATGAAATCTTGAAGCGTGATTACCAGCTGCGTCCTGTTGCTATTGAGTTATTCAGCATGGATGGATGTAATGACCTCCTGGTTTTCCACAAAAAAGAGCGGGAAGAAGTTTTCAAATATTTGGTGGCCATGAATTTGCCAAGAAACAGCATGTATGTCCCATTGTCTCCTTCTTGCCTGTTTTCATTGTGTTTCTCAGTAGCCTTTTTGACTTATTTGCCACAAATGCCAATATGTGTGCCAGGCTTAGATGCCAGTATGCCCAATATTATGTGGTCTGCCGGAATATTTTTTTTTTGAATGTTGGCTTGTTTGTTCTGAATATGCATTTCAGTCCAATAAGGGCACTGATCGGCTTTCACATTGTGGTTCTTCTATATTTTTACAGTGCGAGTTTTATGCTTTGATTAATATTATAAAAATATCTGTGCTGTTCCAATCTGTGAATCTACTGCTGAAATGTTGGATCTTTAGGTACTGATTTTGATATTTATTTCTTCAACTACGGTTACTACACAATATTTATTGCTATATCTTCCTTGCATCTGTGGTATTGAAATATTGAATGTGCCATATGTAATACTCTTCCCTTGATTATAATTAGGTTGATGTAACTAGGAAGTTTTTGGGCGCAACTACAATTGAAAGAATAGTTGTGGTTCTAAATGGCATTGATGGCATTTGATTCGTGTCTTGCATTTCCTGACTTCCATACTTAAATTGAGTGGCAATATCAGTTGGGTAGAAGTTGTAGCCTTGTGATTGTGGATCCCATATTTGAATGCTTGTTGCAAAACCCTGATAGAGAGCACTGTGGACTGTGTTAAACACTATAGCATGGCTTGTAGAAGACATTTAACAGTCTATAACTAATTGATAATGCTAAAAGGAACATGTATATTTGTTGTCTGACTTATGGTTGATTCTAGTTGTACCTCTGGACATGTTGGTATTTGGTTGTTAGCAACTATATGATCACTTTTTGTTGAAAGCTTATAATTGGTGAATCCTAATAGAACCAAGATGCAGCCTGGGGGAGCAATTCAACATCCTTTGCCTTCCTTTCTTATATATTTGGGATTTTGCATGTTTCTTCATATTATGTCCAATTTGTATATACTTTAGCATCTAGCTTTATATTATTTCAACCTGCTTTTATATATTTGTAATTTTGTATATATACATTTTTGATAAGTTATAAAATCGTGTACATACTATATTTAGTAATGGATTAATGGCTTGTTTTAATATCTTATCATGGTTTGGGGTAGTCTAATTTTGATTGAAAGTTTGTCATAGTTGTAAAAATACATGATATTTATGCGTGTGTTCTTAAATTCGCAGGTGGTTATTTTCTTCCTAAACTTCCTTTTTGGTTTCATCTTATTATACTCAGTAATATCTTTATGCATATTTTTGGCATGGTCTTCAGCTTAACTGTTTGTCAAGTTGTTTCTTTTTGCCTTTGGGACTTGGAGCCAAATATTTTTGTCTTCATAACGTCATCTTTTCAACAGGTTGGACGCTGCCTTTTCAGGGTCAGTGAAGCAAGATAGCAATCTTTTTAAGAGTGTGGCTAAAACCTTTTCCAAGAGGTGGCAAAATGGAGAAATTAGCAATTTCCAATACCTCATGCATCTCAACACTCTTGCAGGACGTGGATACAGTGACCTAACCCAGTACCCAGTGTTTCCTTGGGTTCTTGCAGATTATGAGAGTGAAATTCTGGACTTGTCAGATCCCAAAACATTCCGTAGGCTGGACAAGCCAATGGGTTGTCAAACATTAGAGGGGGAGGAGGAATTTAAGAAAAGGTTAGCTTTCATTCCACAGCTTCATGACTTCTCATATCATTTCTTGCCTATTAATTTTGCTTTGCATGTCTTGGTGTATAATTATTTCAGTGGGATATAGCATATAGGTTATTTATCAAGAAGAAAAAAGAAAGAAAGAAAGAAAAAGAAATAGGTGGGATATATGTTAATTTTTCATTTTTCCTCTTTCAATCCATTTCTTTCTCAGGTATGAGAGCTGGGATGATCCAGAGGTTCCCAAATTTCACTACGGTTCTCATTACTCTAGTGCTGGGATTGTTCTCTTCTATCTTCTTCGCCTGCCACCATTTAGTACTGAGAATCAGAAGCTGCAGGGAGGACAGTTTGACCATGCTGATCGTCTTTTCAATAGCATACGAGATACATGGTTAAGTGCTGCTGGTAAGGGCAACACATCGGATGTAAAGGAATTGATTCCAGAATTTTTCTACATGCCAGAGTTCCTAGAAAATCAGTTCAATCTTGACTTGGGAGAGAAACAATCTGGAGAAAAGGTTTGTTTGGGTTACATAAAATTTTACTTCTTTGCCCTCTGATTTCTCTCTAAATTTATTACGATATGGTTACTTGAAAAAAAAATATTCCCACTAACAACTTTTTTTCTGTTCTTTTCCTCATTTACCAATTTTCTTTCTTTGGCTACTAGGAATTTATGTCATATGGGTGTTTTTGTCAGGTTGGTGGTGTTGTGTTACCTCCTTGGGCCAAAGGCAGTGCTAGAGAGTTCATCAGGAGGCATAGGGAAGCGTTGGAATCTGATTATGTTTCAGAAAATCTTCATTGTTGGATAGACCTGATCTTTGGATATAAACAGAGGGGGAAGGTGGGTGTCAGCTTCTTCATATCAACTTGTCATCTGACAAACAACCCAGGCTTCATCTTGATTTTAATTCCTGTGTTTATTCTAATTGACTAATTGAGCTTTTTTGACCTCCTAAATTATGTCTGAATTATGTAATCCATTCATGAATTAATTGTATCCAATTTTGATATTTTTTCCTGTCCTTAATTTCTGCAAATTAGATCCCTATTCCCCTTACATTTCCTTTCTGATGATGTTTTTCTTTATACTCTCTTGGATTGGGGTGAAGTTTTAGTGAATGAAATGAAAGCTGCAAACCTTAAACCGCCATTCCAATCTGCTTTTTTTACAAGGCACTTCTCTTGTGCTCTATAATGGGGAACGTGCATATATTAATGTTCAAACCAATCATTTAAGATTCATGAATGTAGATTTAATCAAGCCTCGCATAAGCTGCCAGCATGACATATTTAAGTTGTGAACGTTGATGTTACCCTCTTATTTGTATACTTTCAAAATTGGCAAAATGTATAACGATGCTTCACCTTTACATTATCTCTGTGTGTGTGTGTGTTTTATACTAATTTATTTATGATATTGAATAAATCGAATGTTTGGCTCAGCCAGAGCTATCCCCTTGCTGGAGTGAGACTACACTCCTTTATTTTTATTTGTAGGTTCTCGTAGTGATCTGCATTTATTTCTAAAACCTGCTTTGTTATTGACAGGCTGCTGAAGAAGCTGTGAACGTTTTCTATCATTATACATATGAAGGGAGTGTTGATATAGATTCAGTTACAGATCCTGCAATGAAAGCCTCCATTCTAGCACAAATCAATCACTTTGGGCAAACTCCGAAGCAACTATTCCTCAAAGCACACGTCAAAAGACGGGTTGACAAAAAGCTTCCTCTTCATCCACTCAAATACTCTAATCACCTCATTCCTCACGAGATTCGTAAAAGCTCATCTTCAATAGCTCAGATTGTTAGCTGCAATGAGAAGATTCTTGTGGCGGGAACAAATATCTTACTTAAACCCAGAACATATACCAAATACGTCAAGTGGGGTTTTCCAGATCGTAGCTTGAGGTTTATGAGCTACGATCAAGACAGACTACTTTCTACTCATGAGAATCTTCATGGAGGCAATCAGATCCAATGTGCCGGTGTGAGCCACGATGGTCAGATTTTGGTTACCGGGGCTGATGATGGTTTGGTTTGTGTTTGGAGAATTAGTAATAGTAAGGATGGCCCACGTGCTCTTCGAAACCTGGAGTTGGAGAAGGCACTTTGTGCCCACACAAGCAGAATCACATGCGTTCGTGTTAGCCAGCCTTATATGATGATTGTGAGTGGATCGGACGACTGCACCGTTATTTTATGGGATCTCAGCTCTTTGGTTTTTGTTAGGCAGCTTCCTGAGTTCCCATCTCCGGTTTCAGCAATATATGTCAATGACTTAACCGGGGAAATTGCAACTGCTGCTGGAGTTATGCTCTCTGTTTGGAGCATCAACGGGGACTGCCTTGCAGTGGTCAACACGTCCCAACTTCCATCTGATCTCATTCTCTCAGTGACAAGTTGTACCTTTTCTGATTGGCTTGAGACAAACTGGTATGTAACAGGTCACCAGAGCGGAGCTGTTAAGGTCTGGCAAATTATTCACTGCTCTGATGAGAGGATTGCCCAAAGCAAGGCAACTAACAATGCAATGGGATTGTTAGGGCTGGGCAATAAAGTACCAGAATACAGGTTGGTCCTTCACAAGGTTCTAAAGTTTCACAAGGATCCAGTTACTGCCCTTCACGCTAAAGATGATTTGAAGCAGTTGTTGAGTGGGGATTCTAGTGGGCATTTGGTTTCATGGACACTACCGGATGATAGCTTGAGACGTTCACTTAATCAGGGGTGATATAATTTAGGAAATTTGTAGCGAGTCTGATATCTTATTCCAGTCCTTGTCTAGTTGGGCCTACTATTTATTATTCTTTTTATCAACACCCTACAAGGGTTTTGCCTGTCCACCACCATAGTTGGG